AATATTGGCTTTGGCGTTCTACCACACTCAGCTGGTGACACCTACGAACCCTGTCACCGGAGGGGCGTGGATTATATGCACACATCGGGGCTATGAGGAGGTGGGTGATTGGTATGGTTAATGAATTTTACTCTTTCTCTATCAGAACATTCGTGATTCCGTACCCTACAGGGCGTGCAGACAGTTCTTGCAATGCCTCTATGATGCAAGTACTATGACCGAAGCTCGTGGAGGTTTTATACCAAACGTCCTACCTCCCCCTTACTTTACTGAGGAATCCTTCGCTCGTTACATTTGTGACTTCAACACAGAAGTTCTCACAACTGAATATGAGGGGGTGTGGCGTGCTATGGAGAGGCCTGCATTGGAGAGGAGTGAGGTCCAGCAAGAGAAAGAAGAGAAGGAAGAAGAGGAGAAGAAGGATGCCACCGTCTAATTCTACGTATCATTTGTTTTCTACTGTTTCCGTTTAGTACTCTATCTCTTGGGTTCGTTAGTAAGTCTGTTGAGCAACCAGGGAAGCAGGAATGTCACGGCATCACGGCATGCTCGAACTTGAGCATTTTTGGGCGCGCGCTTTTGTCGGCGCAGCTTGGGATCGCACTCTACGATCGTGTGCTGCGGGTTGAGTTCGATGGTATGTATTGTTCTTCTTGAAGCCATTACCGTTCATCAATTTGGAATTGTAATGATTCTACGGTCAGCTCTCTTCGTGTGGGCCTGCCTTGCAATTGGAAACGCGGAAGAGGTAAGCGAGGGGCATATCCTGAGGTTCAGCGCGAAAGATGCAAAAGAGGTCCAAGATTAGCCATCAGAGTTGATGTTGTCAGGACATTGAAGATGATGCGAACATTCACGAGCTATTAGCTCATCGTGCTCGATCCCCCGGTTGGGAAGATGAGGTAACCTTTTACTACAATTCATAGCAGCAATCATCGCATTTCTCTACTTTCGTCTGGAAAGTCTTGGAACTGTACTCGAATATCTGGAAAGTATTCTCTTTGTCTTTCCTGGACGGTCCTTACAATGGGCGTTTGAGAAGGCATTAGGTTTTTGCTTTGATTGGAACAATGTGTTCGTAATGTCTGTAGGCTGCTGTCACCACAACTGAGTCCCCTTTAGTGAGAGCGTACAGCTCCTCGAGCTTCTGTTGAGCAATCATAGCCCTCTCTATAT